CCCCACATATCTCTACATACAGCACATATACACATGTATTTGTCACGGTGGAGAGAATGACAAGGAATGACAGGGGAGTTATCAAAACCTCATCCCCTGAGTCAGAGTCACAGATGGCTGTTAAAGTTGGTAATAATATGCTGGCAGAGGTCCATGTGTTACACTGTGACTGTCAGCACAGGCAGGGATTGGAACAAGAGGAATGAGTGGCATTTAAACCATAATGACAGATTTTAAAGTGGTAGTTTGGGATTGAAATGAGACATTAGGGTGAGTAAATGATGACAGAATTTTCATTTTTTTGGATAATAAGGTTTTACATCAGTTGGGTGTTTGAAAAAGCTTTTGAATGGTGATGTGTGTGTGTGTGTTTGTGGTAAACCTTTAATTGTCTGCAATGTGATGTTTTCCTCTGGGCTGTAGAGACTTCATCTGCACTGTCAATGTGTTTGATAGGTGTCTGGAAGATTCTGAGCCGAGGGACCGCAGTAGAATCACTGATTCTTGAGGATTTTTATTTAGCTGCAGCTGCTTGAGTAGTTTTTTTCTCTAGAGGATGGACATTTGTTTGGTTTACTCTCTCTTATGGTTGTGGTTTCTGTTTTATTCCATTTTACCAGTCTTTCCCAATCAGAACTCCAGGTCTTTTAGTTGCTTCTGTTTTAGTAGCCTTTGCTACAAGTCCATGTTTAAAGGAATAGTTTACCCAAAAATGAAAATTTGCAGAAAAAGTAACTTACTCTCAGGCCATGCAAGATGAACATGCTTTTTCCCCCTCATCGAAACAGATTTGGAGAAATTGCTCACCAATGGATCTTCTGCAGTGAATGGGTGCTGTCAGAATGAGAGTCCAAACAGCTGATAAAAACGTCACAATAATTCACAAGTAATCCAATCCTCCAGTCAATCAATTGCTGTAACATCTTGTGAAGCAATGATCTGTGCATATTTTGCTTCTGATTCAGACAAGGTGACTTTAGCGAAAGCAGTATTAGGACTTAACGACTCAACAATTTGAAGTTATAAACATCTCGATGGATTTGTTTATTAAAAACGTGAAGCTTTTTTGCCTCACAAGATGTTAATTGATGGACTAGAGTCGTGTGGAATACTTGTGAATTATTGTGAAGTTTTTACCAGCTGTCTGGACTCTCATTCTGACGGCACCCATTCACTACAAGGGATCCATTGGGGAGCAAGTGATGTACAGTAATGCAGAATTTATCCAAATCTGTTCCAATGAAGAAACATACTCATCTACATCTTGGATGGTCTGTGGGTGAGTACATTATCAGTCTGTTCTTCTTTTAGTAGTTAGCTCTGTTAAAAGTTGACAGTTGCTTGTCTTCCGAGTGTGTTATCAGTTCAGGAAGATAAGCCTATGTTTTTGCAATATGACAATGAAAAAGAAGAAAACATCTGACATCGATCTGAATGTGCTATATGCAATACATGCAATTATACAATATTTGATTGTAAATGAGTGTAAAATATTGTAAAATCATGATTTTTTATATAATAATATACTTTATTTGAAAATAGGGATGCCAGTCTACATATATTATGCTGATGGAATCAAAATATTAAACCATTAGAAATGGATTAATATCTGAATATCACAGGAAATGGTTTCCTTTCACCATCAGCTTTTTTTTCATTAGCCTATTTAGAGTGTTTTACTGAGTAATTAAAAGCTCACAAACGGATGACAAAATCAGTCCCGCCCATCTGGTGTCAAGGAGACAGCTGTTACATCCCTTCTCTCCCGGGGGAGCAGATAGAAGAGCTCGCTCTGCTATTTCAGACAACATCGATAAAACACTATGGATACACAGCATGCAAATCGTTACAGTGACTCTCGATCGGGTGCCAGAAAGAATGAAAAATCTTTATAGCTAATGAAAGTGCAAATGAGGCATTTGGTTAATGATGGGTGAGGACAATATTGGCCTGATTGCACGAAAATGAATTAAGTAATGCGTGTTATGCTCTGAGACAATCGTTGCTTTAAAAATCAATTTTATAGAGATGCGGAATGCTGTGATTTTAAGAAGGAAATTTTTTTCCTCTCTTCTCGCACACATTTAATTGATACAGTCCCATTATTATGCTTGTGTATTGGTCTATTAATCACAGGCAGAGGAGCGTAGAGTCATAGATCTATATGCTATATAAATATACCCGGAATTGTACCGTCCCACTCTTTAGAACACACTGTATTAGCTGAATAAATTCCCAGGACTGCAGGACCTCTAGTAGAAAATCCATATCTTGATGCTTGACAGTTTACATGGTGGAAAGTGTTGCAGAGTCATACTTGCTTGAAGCATTGCATTGTGCTCTTTTTAATGAGGCGTGAATAAATTGTTGTGTGTTTTCTATCAGGATGCGTAAAAGGGGGGTGAGTGTGAGATGGATTAAACACATCAAGTGGGTGATATCACTCATGCTAAGCTGAATAGCTCCTTGTAGACACATAATTTTATACTGGTTGTAAACAGGGTTTCTGCGGGTCTTAAAAAATCTTAATTTGCTCTTCCACAACTGAAGGCCTTAAGTCTTAAATTCATACAGGCCCAGCATTAAATGTTGCAAAAATCATTATCTTCCTCAGTAATTTTCTTTTCCAGTACAAATATAAACAAATATTGAAATGCCAAATGAAGAAATGAAGTATTGTTTTCTGAGAAATTGACTAAAATTGAGGGGGAATAAAACATATCTGTTTTGCCTTTGAGCTAAGAGATTTTTCTGAGCCCACTGGCACATATTTGCTCTTGTTTTAATCATAAACTGACTTCATTTTGATTAATTTCAGAGAAAACAAGACTTATTATCTTATGTAATTTTGCTTCTAAATTAAATTGATCTTGATTTAAGAATGTTTTTGAACTGGAAAAATGAGACAAAAATAATTACTACAGTAAAAGTTGTTTCCATATTCTAGTGTTGGAGGCATTCAAGCCTTTTTTTTAATGAATTAAAAATGGAGATCAGTAGGAAGTTGTTTTCTCAAACTTTGAAGTGTTGCTAATACACCTCATTGTGTACTTCCCATACATTTACTTTTAGATAACATATTGATGTTCACTGCAATTTATTCCTTGAATTTCCTTTAAATTTACCTTTATAAAACCTGCAGAAAACTGACTAAATCACATATCAAAACTGCTGTCTCCCAGATCTGTCTCCATCTGCCACCAGTTCTGTGCCTCTCAAACATTTTGAATAGGTAAAGTTAGGCTCTGATTTCAGTGCGGTTTGATAGCAGGGGTGCGTAAGGTCACCCCAGGGTTGGCCCAAAGGGAAAACCTCTTTATGTTACATAACAAGAGCAATACAAATAGTATAAAAGAATGAGAAACAACATCTGACTCATTCGTACACAAACGTATAAGTGTAAATGATGTGTTTGAAAACTTAATTGACTGTTCATTTTGCCTAGTATCAGTTACTAATTGCCTAATAGCTGTGTGTTAGAGGCATAGAAAGTCATGCACAGCCTGAAGGCATTGAAAATGTTAAAAGGGAACAAGTGTTTGATTATGCAGTGACTTGTTTTATGTATTTCATACTATGATAAAACACCTTGATATGCATTGTGCCAGATGCCATGTTTGAAAATAAACTTGTGCTGCTTTTTAGCTGGATGTTTTGGTTGAAAACCCATGCAATGCCAAATGAAGATTTAATAGCCTGTGCAATTACTAAGTCTGATTAGCAGCCAGCGAGTTTAGATGCTATAAATTCAGGATTGTTTTCACTGATTCATTGGTGCTGATGAGGCCTGGATCAACACAGTGTGGTTGGACAGATGGAAGAACCTAAAGGGACAATAGGCATTGTAAACTACAAATAGGCTGCAAGATTTCTTAATATGTCAAATTATTTTCTTGTCTGCATGTAAAAAAAAACGGACTTGAATTGGCTATGCCGTGATTCAGTGTGCAGAGTGTTTTGAATTTTTGTCATGTTAGTGTATTATCTAGAAGCAAATGTTCTTTTGGTAGGCTATTTAAAGAATGTTTTAAACAAACTCAAATGCATTTAATTGGTTCCTATTTAACACATCAGTCAAGTAATCAGAGCAATACAATATGCAATGGTTTGCATTGTCATAATCCATGAAAAATGGCAGTGTAATGGGAACGGACAGTATGTTGAAGGACATTTAAAGTGGGACAAAACATAAACTGTATTAATGTACTGTATACTATCTATTTGCATTGATTCAGTTTTTGTTTTTAATTATTCAGGCTATCATAAGTGTGTTCTTTTCTGGTAATGTATAGTTAGGCTATATATAATTTACATATAATTCCATAGGCCTATTTAATATAATTCTGTAATTTTGGAAGAACACAGTTTAAGGTCGTTTAACCCACACAGTTTGACCCAATCCATGACATTAACCACGGGTAAGATGGCTTTTTAAACAGCTGTTTTAAACAAACAAAAAATAGTCTTTTAAAAATGATATTCTTGTAATAAATAAATCTAAAGAGCATCTAGTTATGACCGTATGTAGATTTTAATGTATGAAAACGGAAAGCACTTCACATGGTTACCGCCTCAGGTAAACAGCTGAAAAGTAGCCTACTCTCCTACAATCGAACTTTTGTGGTCTATTAAACGTTTTAAAACGCTACTGAAAGTTCTTTATAGTATGTGTAGAATTAATACCGAATTAAAACGTCTTAAGACATACTTCTGTGGCATTTAAGCATTTAAATAGAGGCGGTCAAACCCTAATTCATACCCTCATTGAAGGCATCAATCAAGTAATCAGTACCATAATACAGTGGTTTTCGTTATTTTGATAATCAGCGCAGATGGCAGTGTAATGGAAACGAACGGTATGTTGAAGTACATTTAGAGTGTCTAATAAGATTGAGTAACTAAAAGGAATATCTTATGCATTTAAACCGAGCCTTCTCTATAGAGAGCGCAGCACTATATGCGCTGAGGAAGCGGATCGCCTGTAAAGCGGCACTGCGGCAGTAATGTATCAATGCGCCCGGCACCCGCTCGCTCCGGGATCCTGAAGCACGGACTCGCGGAGAGGAGCAGCGTCGCTTCCTTGCAGGATTTATTTGTTTGTGGAAAAATTTCTCTTTTGTTTTCCGTTCTAGAGCAGCGCGCATTCCGAATGCCGACAACTCGCTCGTACGGCCCTCCTCCACTCGCCAGGCTTTGCATGTGTTGCTTTTGTCCTGCAAGAGAGAAGGCAGGCTTTGTTTTTTGGTGGATCTAGAGCTGAAGGAGGCAGTTCCAGGCGCTGCTGCTGCTGTGGGCTGGACCGGCCACGGTGCGTGAGATTTACTGACGGAGTGAAAGAGAGAGAGAGATAAAAAGGACTCATGGAAGACAGCGAGAGTGAAGGGAGAGCTGGCAGGGAGTGTAAATACATTAAAACCATTTATATATATATTTGGGGTGTGTGTATGCGCGCGCGCGCGTGTGACAGGAGTGCCAGCACAGGGCATCATCAGGTTAAAAGGATATGTGGTTGGGAATAGCTTTGTAATAATAGCCCACCTGGACTATTGGTCATTGCTGTTGGTAAAATGTTTCTTGAATGCATAATTAATTCGAAAAAGTCAGATTGCAATACTGATATTTGGTAGTGGTGGATTCTGAAGACAGATGAAGGTTGGTTGCTAGTGAAGTTTAAGTTGACGGGTGTCTAATGATGTCATACTGTAGCTGCTGTAGATGTTCATGTCATCTTGTGAAGTTCACGTTGATGCTTGATTTTATGATGCCTATGTATCTTGTAAACTTCACTGGATAAGACACTGACATTTATGGCTAGTTTTGATATAATGACATGTTCGTGTCATCAGATGATGTTTAAGCTGATGCTTGATTATGATGTCATAATGTAGTTGCGGATTTGGTAAAGTTGATTGATTGTGATGTCATTGTTGCTACTGTAAATGTTCATGTTGTCTTGTAAAGTTTACATTTTTGGCATAATGCAGCTGTTAATGTCATCTAATGATGTTTATGTTAATGCTTATATGTCAGTGATTTAGTGAAGGTGATTATGATGTCATAATGTAGATGCTTTTCATGTGATTTAATTTGAAGCTTATAGCTGATTATGATGTCATAGTGTAGCTACTAAAGGTGTTCATGTCATTTGGTGAATTTGAAGATTGATGATCATGATGTCATAATGCAGCTTTTGTAGATGTTCAGGTCACATATTTTTGTCATATTTACATGTTAGACACAGACTTGAGATGATTCTGATACAAACTTCAGCACACAACTTGACATAACTAATGACAGAATGATTTAATATTTTGAGCAATGTCTTGTTTTATTTTGAGATTAATGAAAAATAATGCCTAGCATGAATAATTTGAGCTGATGTTGCTATGTAAGCTGTATTTGCTATTCTTTTTGACAACCCTGAGGGTGGCAGATTTAGTAAGGTTTTCAGAGTTTTATCTATAGTTTGGTGACATTGAAAAATAAACAGAGGAACCCTGAGTAGAGATTATCAGTAGAGTGCAGAATGATTGTGGCTGACTTTACAGAAGATGACTGGAAGTCAGCCATAAATGTTCTGTCTGTGTAATCAGCTGAACTAAAATTTGCTGTGAGAAAATGACTTTTTTTTTTCTTGATTCACAGCTCTGTTAAGAAAAATGAATAATTTCCCCCTCCTGTCTCCGGTTATAGCAGTCTCAGAATAATGACAGTGTGCAGGAGGAGAAATATAAGCTCTTGAATATGTAATACTGGAGATCTAGACCCAGCTCTGTAAATGGCTCATTATATGATGTATTTAATTAATATGCAAGAACACATTCTGAATAATTTCCTACAATAGATTTTGTTTTCTTTCAAGAAACTGTAAGATCTGGGAAGAAGGGAAGTGACTGTAGCCATTGTGGAATTAGATCAAAAGGAAGGCATCTTAAGATGATCTCTTGCAGAGAGTCCAAATGTGTTGTGAAAATTGCTTTATTCATATGCCTGCATGATATATTCCTATGTATAGCTAAGGGTGGGGATTCTGGGAAGGCTCTCAGAGAGAACATTTCAAACGTCTGCTCTCTATCTCTTTGACATGTAGGATGGGAAGGCGTCAGACTGCACTTAAACAGAGTGTTGGGTCCGTGAGGACAGCCATGTGGAGACCTGTTACAGCTCCGTTGGAAGACACTTCAAGTGGTCTGCCAGTTTGTTTCCCTTAAACGTGGGCTGCATTTGGAAGTTTGGATACTTTCCAGTTTGGCAACCCTTAACAGAATTCGATTTTGGATTTCTGTGCTTGTGGATATATGCATTTATCCTTCTGGAATCTCATGTGCGTATCGCACTCCAAGCAAAGTCACATAGCATCAGCCGGTTTTGGAATTTGGATAATTGCTCATCCCTCACTGGAGTACAGTTATTGAGCTTTCCATTACAGGTGTTTGTTTGGAAATCGTTCTGCATCCACCTCTGAGCGCAGGCCGAGAGCCTCCTAACAGGAAGTGTTCGCTTGAGTGTGTCATCTGGTGAAATGGATGGCCCGAGGTGCAGCGGGATCCGGAAAAAGCGGAAGTCTCGGTCGGTGCGAGACCAGGAGCACGTGTCTAACGGGATCAAGAATAACCATGTCCGGGGCACCGTGCTTCGATTCTCCTCAGATTCGGAGAGGGAAGACAGCACCAACCCCTCCTCTTCCTCACGACCCAGGCCACCGAGGAGGAAGAGGAAGGAGTCTACCTCTGCTGAGGAGGACATCATTGACGGATTCTCAATATCGGGATTTATGACGCTGGAAGCTCTTGAGGTAAGAGACCAGGGTAGCCTTGTACTGCGGCCTTTGCGTGAATGTGTTTTTAACTGCTGTTTTTTGGAAGTGCTTGTTTGGTTTGGCTGTGAAAAGCTCAGTCGTGGCATAATGACTGGTTTATTATTGTCTGTAGACTGCTTCTTTCTGGACTCTAATTGCCTGGGTCTGTTTGCACAGTATTGGATTTTCTGTAGTTTGTGATTCAAGTAGATGTGGCTTTATAGGTTGTTGTTTTTCTGCCAAAGATGTAAATTGTGTCCGAATTTGCTTGCTTATGCACTATTCTGTAGGGCTGTGCGATTTGGGGGAAAATATCAAATTGCGATTTTTTTGACAGATATTGCGATTGCGATTCTGTGTCATTTTGTAGTATAAATGGCGTGACTAGTGTGTTCAGGCTGAAAATTCCAACATGAAGTGCACTTCAAATACCCAGATCATGCACTTATTTAATTGAAAAAAAACGGTGTGGAATGTTGGACACTTCATGCGTTTATCTGTTGCAGCTTTCCTTATGTAGAAGAATAAAAGGGGCTTGGACTCTGATGTTGGATGATAAAATAATCTTATAAAATTCATACACCAGACAGTTGAGTGTATAGTGTGTCATTTACGAGACAATTGCCCGATGTTATGTGGTAGCCTACTGCTTTAAGATGCTGTTTTGAGAAGGTTAATGACTTGAAGAATCTAATATAGGCCTAAATGTTTAGAAATCATCATATATGGAAATTATGTCATAATGTATCTGCTAAAGATGTTCATGTCATCTGGTGAAGCTGAAGATGGATGATCATGATGTCATAATGTAACTATTGTAGATCTTGAGGTCACAGATTTCAGTCTTATATTAAGAATTTAGTCACAGATTTTGGTAAGAAAGATGATTCTGCTAAAAAAAAGCATCAATAGTTTAAGAAACAACTTAAACACGCAACTGGAGCAAAGCCTTGTCTCATTTTGAGATGAAAAATAATACCTACAGTGGAAAGAATAATTTCAACTGATCTAGGTTTGAAGTTTAACTGTACTTTTATAGGAATCACTTTTGCATTATTCTCATTTTGACTACAGAATTATATGTAAGTTTATATTACCGACTTGATATGTAATTATATGTAGAAAGTCCTACATGGCTGGAAGTGAAATTTCAAACTTCAGATGTTTGAAATAAGGGTTAGATGTACCAGCCAAGTTAGCTACAAAAAAGGCATCTAGATCTCAAACTCATTTTGACAGCCTCCTTACTGAAACTAAGCAAGCTGCTTTGGTCTGTTACATATAATCTAGGCAGACTGATCAAACATACTGTGTGGATGTTTATTATTGTTCTGTTTATTAGTAAAACTGCTGTATGAATTTAAGGCTGTTTACAGCCTCCAAGTGGAGCTGGAAATATAGTCATTACGCGTTACGTGCACAGAAATTATAAAGTGAAATAATTTTTTACCAGTGGGAAACTCTGAATTTTTGTAATTATACCTATTTTGATACTGGAAAGGTCTAGTTTTTGCTTGGGGTCCTGCTAACAAGTAGCTTTCTTCAGGTATACTATACATGTCTGCAGTTATAACTGCGGCAGGTGCTCTCTTTCTATATTATTATTTACATTTTAATTAATATTTTGTAGATAAAAACTAAGCTAAATATATAAATTAAACAGAGATTGGGTATGCAGGTGTATTCACTTATGGTACAATATTTGGCCGTCATTCACTGTTACTTCAATATTGTGTTTATGACTTTGATGTGTCATTTCGTAGGTGCTTCCCAGGAGCACTTGAAGGTGGCATCGGCCTTCGCCATTGTTTCATTTGTCAGTCTTGACAGGACATCTGTAGAGTGTCATCCTGACTTTCAGCGTCGCTCTTGCTGTTAAAAGCCCAATAGTGTGACACGACAAAGCTTTGCACGCTTTACCCTCACATCCCCTACAGATGCTGTTGCATTGTGTTGGATGTTCACTACAGTAATCTGTGAAAGGAGCCCATCAGCAGCTTACGCTGTCACGCTAGCGCTCTGAACCGCAGTCGCAGTTCTCCAGGGGTGACATCCCCATTCACCGCTCTTCACTGTTCTGGGATCTGTGACTCATAGCCGTCCCGTCCATGCTCTCGTCTTGCTCCATTTAGAACCTCACAGAGCAGGAGACCCTAGACTAGATCCTGCATGTCAGCAATCAGCTCCATTCTCATTCATGCAGCTGAGATGATCACAGGACTTAATGAGCCAGTGCAGCTAGCCAAATCAAATGTATCTCGGTCTATTCTAATGTAAGGTCTTTTAAGAAATTACAGTTGAAATGCTGTAATAATTAAAATGTATTATTACTGTTTACTGTGGGTTTTATTTTGTTTTAGTTGTGTGTTTTTTTGTGTTGTAATGTTTTTTTTTTGTTTAGTTTTAGTTGTGTTTTTTGTAGGGATGCAACGATACAATTTTTTCAGAACCGATCCGATCCAGAAAATTCTGAGTATCTGTTGATACCGATCCGATTCAATACAAGCGCAGTTTTCTTTAAATCAATGTAGAATTTCTATACCTCTGTGTGTTGACCTTATCATCACTCTTTTGTGTGTTAAACACATAGACTGTATAAAAACATGGACGTAGTGTCCGTGACGTAACCCGTAGAATTCCGACGAGTGTTTTGAAGCCTAAAGTAGGCGGAGCCAGCCGTCGCCATCTTGGCAGCGCGTCACCGCGCGTCACTCCCGGATAATCGAAAATGGGCAAAGAGGCGGGAGCTGGCTGCTGAAAGTTGGGCATTTTAACATGGGGAGTCTATGGGATTGACTCCCTTTTGCAGCCAGCCTCTAGCGGCCAGTTGACGAATTACAGTTTAAGTCACTTCCTTGTTGGCTTCACGAGAGAGAGCGGGAGGTTGCCGCTCGGTTAAACACAATATACTAAATATAGACAACTGCATTTTAATTAAAAAGAACAAATGAAAAAAATATATAATCATAATCTATGACAAAAAATACTATTATAAACTAGGTTAGTGGATAATTCAGCAGCAAAAGATACTCTAGTCTAGAAGAATCATGGGTGCACAATAATTTTATAAAATCTAAACATTTAGTGAAACAACATTATTTAGTGGGGAACAAATTAAAGTTAATAAGTGTAGGACTAAATCTGGTAAAATGTTACACATTGCTCTTTGTATTGTTGTAAAATACATACATGAAAAACAAGTAAATATAATTATATAAATATATAGCCTACTATAAACTAAAAGACATTTCTTTTAAATGTATAGCACAGTAATAAAGGCAGCAACATATGATTGATAGGACAGAACAAGAAAGACTATTAATAATCTTTCATTGCGCAAAAGTATTATAGTACGAAAGGGTATGGTTCCAATACAGAGCGGCACAAAGCGCTTATGCACATCCCGTGCGCAGAATGATGCGCTTGAAGCAACATGGAATCACAGCGCACAGCATAGAAAAATTATAGAGATATTGATGTCTCTATATGTGTGTAATATCTGTGCAATAGTTTGAGCCTTTTCTTTTAACAGTTTCAAATCTTAGTTATTGAGCACTCATGAAGGATGACAGACAGCTGCAGCTGAGAGAAGAGTTTACGTAAACTTGAATTTAACGACTTATTAACGAAATATTCATCTCTACCTCACATTGAACAGCTTCAGAACATTTGATATCTAGCGCACAAAAACTTTATGGTGCTTTATGGGCTTAACAATAGCACAGTATAGTATTCGCACAATATCGGATTTGGATCGGTCTCCTCTGACCGATACCCGATCCGGCAGAAAATGCCAGTATCGGAACCGATACCGATACTGATTATCGGATCGATGCATCCCTAGTTTTTTGGTTGTGTTGTGTTGTGGTGTTTTTTTGTTTAGGTTGTTGTTTTGTATTTTAGTTCTTTACTGTTTTGTGGTTTGTTTTTTTTGTTTTGTGTGTTTTAGTTGTGTTTTGCATTGTGGTGTTTTTTTGTTTAGGTTGTTGTTTTGTATTTTAGTTCTTTACTGTTTTGTGGTGTTTTGTTTTTTTTGTTTTGTGTGTTTTAGTTGTGTTTTGCATTGTGGTGTTTTTTTTTGTTTAGTTTTAGTTTAGTTTTTTTGTTTTGTGTTGTGGTGTTGTGCTTTTTTGTTTGTTGTTTTGTGTTTTAGTTGTTTTTTTTGTTTTGTGTTGTGTTATTCTGGCTTGTTTTTTGCCATTATTATTAATATTGAATCTAGAAAAGGTTTGGAAAAAATGAGGAAGATGGGAAAACTAGAACGGGAGATGACAAAAGCAGGAATCACATTTTCTGCATAAAAAAACATCAACACAAACCACTATGCCACAGCTCCAACTTTATTACATTTATTATTTCCACATGAATTTAGCCTATATCCATTTTGCACTGATTGTTTGCTGTTGTGATTTTGGCCCATAAATGTAGCAGTGTTTGTTTGTCCATACGGATCAATGTTTACAATACATCAGAGCCATCTTACTTTTTATCCAATACACCTATTCTCTCTTTATCCAATTACATTTAAACTGTCCCTCTATCTCTCTTCCTCTGCCTCACCATTTCTATTTCTTGTCCTTCTTTTACAACAATCCCTTGATGGTTTCAATTTGATAAGGAATTTGTCCTCAATTTGCCAGGAGGTGCTTGAAGAATTCGTACAGGTATTCCCAAATGACACATTGAAATCAAACTCGTTCCACTCCAGTGGACAGACTCGCTCATATAGAAGTGAGCCATCAGCAGCGGGTGTTTATTAATGCTGCTTAGTGCTGGAACGACAGGCCTGAGAGGCAGTGTGTTACACCACTTTGAGAAATTACTAAATCATCAGGCCTGGGCCGCCTCGACAAACCTCCTCCCCCTTGGTCCCTGAGCACAAAGTTGCCACGTAATCGTTTCAACCTCCTCCCCCTTGCCCGCCCCTGCATCCCCAATTCAATATTACTTAATGCCTGCACCACTGGTGCCCTTAAACCACTTTATGTGATCATTGT